TTTTAGTGTACACCTGTTGACATTTAGCCCCTTAATTAAACTTTTTATTTTTATTTTTATTATAGCATATTTTACTGTATTCTGAGGATGTTTTTATAATCGTAGCCCTCAGATGAAGGAAACGCGTGCACTAGCAGGATGTTTATCTGCGTTTTTCCCGTTCCGTGCAGCTCTATCTTTATCTAATTATAGATATTTTTATGAATATCCATAAAAGTGTTTCTCTCATAAATGTTGTTTGCTGCTTTATGATGTCACCGCTAAACAGGAAGCAGAAATCATTCATGCTAGGAAACTTTCACAATATACTGTACAGTAAATACAACTTTGTTATGTTTGTGCTTTTGGAAATTGATCTTTACTGTAAACTTTACTTAATGTGTATTATTTTGCAGTTCAGGCTGATTTTGAGGACAATATTTGTGCTTTCTGCGAGTGTAATTGTTGATTTGATTATTTGGGTTGTTTATTCATGTGTGCTGCACTGTGATGGTGAACTTTGAGTGTATTTCGAGCATATTGTCAGCTTGTTTCACAGATAAATGTGTGTTGATCAGATTCATCTGAGCAGGTCAGTGGGTTCAGTCATGGAGAACAACATCAGAGCCATAAACACACTTGATATCACGGATGAATGCTTACAAACACACACGTGAGGAAGCGAAGGCTCGGCCTGTTTGTGCACTAAATCATTTTATTAGCTGTCAGATTCAACCAAAACATCCGAACTGATCAACAACAAGAGGTGAGAGTGTGTGTCTGTGTGTGTGTGTGTGTGTGTGTGTGTGTGTGTGTGTGTGTGAGAGAGTGTGTGTGTTTGTGAGCGAGAGAGTGTGTGTGAGTGTGTGTTTGTGTTTGTGTTTGTGTTTGTGAGAGAGTGTGTGTGAGTGTGTGTCGCTGTCATTCCTGAAGCGTTGCTCAATTCTGGAAAAGCTGGAGTCGCAGCAGATGAACGGTTGAGCCCCACAACCATCACACACTCACTCGCTGTGCAGAAGGGTGGAGAAACTCCAGCAGAGCCGTTTGAGTGATGAAGACATGAGCAGATCAGCTTACATCCGACAGACGAGATGAACCAGTCCACAAAACCACATTACAGACATTAATTACTACACACACGACTGATTCAACACACTGACATACAGAACACTCACGAGAAATTAATACTTTACTGCCACTTTTTATTGATTTAATGCGTCCTTGAATTAAAGACATTTATAATGTGACAAAAGATTTCTGTTTCAAATAAATGCTGTTCTTTTTAACTTTCTGTTCATCTGTGAATCCTGAAAAATAAAATATATCACAGTTTCCACAAAAATATTGTGCAGCACAACTGTTTTCAACATTGCTAATAATCAGAAATGTTTGTTGAGCAGCAAATCAGCATATTAGAATGATTTCTGAAGATCATGTGACACTGAAGACTGGAGTAATGATGCTGAAAATACAGCTGCGCATCACAGAAATAAATTACAGTTTAACAGATATTCACACAGAACACAGCTGTTTTAAATTATAATAATATTTCACAGTTTTTACTGTATTTTTGATCAAATAAATGCAGCCTTGGTGAGCAGAAGAGACTTCTTTCAGAAATATTAGAAATCTTATTTACTCCAAACTTTTGAATGGTAGTATACATGGAGTAAAGCTATTAAATCAAGCTAAATGTTGTTTACGTGTCCTAATGTTCAACACTGTGACGTTGTGCTTGTTATTTCCAGTTAAATGCGCTGCTTTGACCTTTATGACATCATATCTGACAAGCGTTGGTTTATGAGTTTCTCTGGCAGGCTTTATCAGGATTCATGACACTCACTCGTTTATCAGCCTCGTCCAGATCAATAGTTCAACTCTTTTATGGGAAAAGTCATTTTGATCATTTTAATCGAAATACCTAGCAGATAAACTAAGCAATGTGACGTCTGTTAGCAGTTCGATTGAAAGAGGGTCATAAAATGTGCATTGCAACAATTGTTATTATATATATTATGTTTCATATATAAATTAAATGTATTATTACTAACATGGTAATAATATATAATATATATATATATATATATATGTATATACACTTATCTCATTTAAAGGTTACATATCTTATTATTATTACTATAACTCTATATTATATATAATAAAATATTTTAAATGTATTTTTATTTGTATTTTTACTTTTCTGTATTAATTCATTTATTTAAATATATTTTATTTATTTATTTATTTATTTTACATGTTTGTTTTTTTTTGTTAACCCATGAGGCGATTTCTGTAAAATCTGCTGTTATTCTCCACTTCCTGTTGGTGCTAATGATGACAGATGAGATCTTGTTCATATCTCCATTCTTTCAGTGAGTTTCTGATGCTTCACTTTTGTGATTTTAAATCTGTTGTGAGGAAACAAAGCTCTGTCTTCCTGTATGTCTGTGACATAACAGCAGAACAGTGACGGGCGTGTGTGGATTCATTCATCCGCTTCCCATCAGAACAAACAACAATACAGACTTTCCTGAAAGTAACCGAGCCGCTCTGCAGATCCTCTGCTGTCATC